ATGATAATATGATAGATAAATGGTTCATAATTTACATATATATGAATATAAAACAAGAAAGGTCATTGCATTCAATTTAAGGTATACAAGCTTGTGTCTGTAAATGATTAATTGGGTTACTTATATCAAGTTGTAATAAAATAGCCTCGACTAGACCGGATATCGAAATGGTTATCTGACAAATTAAAAGTCTGTTTAGAAATAATGTGATTTTTTTTCAACCCATCCGTTCCTTAACACAAACTGCAATCATTTATATAAAATAATATTAATATCATATGATTGAAATGTACATGGTTCTAACATTGTGACATTATGAAATATGAAATCAAAAGACCGGCTAGGTAGGATGGCTTTCAATGAACGCATTCTTCCATTAAACAACAGTTCAAAACCACCGACAAGGGGCGCAACAGACTACCAAACAAAAACAAGATAATGCACAATAATACAAGTATTCAGCTGATGCTTTATAATATCCTTTCACTGAACGTTAAACGTGTTCTTTGAGACAAACATTGATACAAATAAAATAATTACATGCAATCATCTGACACACTTGAGCTTTCATACTGAAGTAGTACCATTCCAAAACCTAAAATATGTGTTCATAGGACAATCTTCACTGCGAAAAATATACTGATATACGGGAATATACGGTCCTGTATTTTTGACGAATACGGGCGTGTACGGGATGTATTGTATATATACGGACCAAGTATACGAGTCCGTATAGTGAACATCGGATATACGGGAAGTCCGTGTATGCATCAGGCATATACGGAATTTCGTATTTGCCACATATACATGTACGTATATTTGTTCGTACTTTTGAAGTATACGGAGAATAAAATCCCGTATACGGAATTTATCAAGGTTGTTATCCCTAGTATACTATAAATATACCAGGGTTATACGGGACCGTATTTTCTACATTTACAGAGGATATACGGACTCGTATTTTCTACGTATACAGAGGATACGGGACCGTATAGTCTACATATACAGAGGATATACGTAATCGTATTTTCCACATATACAGATGATATACGGAATCGTATTTTCCACATATACAGATGATATACGGAATCGTATTTTCTACATATACAGGGAATATACGGAATCGTTTTTTCTACATAAAAAATTATACAGAAGGTATACGGAATCGTATTTTCTACATATACAGGGAATATACGGAATCGTATTTTCAATATATACAGGGGATATACGGAATTGCATTTTTGAGTTTTACACAGGGTATACGGAACTGTATTTTCGAGATAAAAGAAGGGACAGATAATATCAAAAGCATGCATTTACATATAAGTGACACCTATACATGACCGAAATGCAGGCTTGTACAATAGAGCATGTTTGATTCCACATTGTGAATGGGAACTGTAATTAAAGTCATATGCTTAAGAACTTTATCTTCACAATTGGAGTATTTCAAATAATAAAGTAAAAACCAAATCGAGTCACTCTTAAACATTTATCATTTCATAAACATATATTCAATATGTATACATATATTAAACAAAATAAACATGTCTTCGTTTCAACAGTCATATAGTGTTGTAAGCCTTATTCTAGAGGGACACATTAATGTATTAATGTAGCATTGCAACGGAATGGCGATATACCGGTATGTTGCGATACAGAGTCATGTAATACGTATCACAGTACAGAACATCCTCACCGCGATATTTTCTTCAAAGATCGAATTATACATGTACATTTTTCGATATTTTCAAGCCGGAACCTTTATGAATTGCATGTTGTTTAAATCTAGAACAAACTATACCAACTTGAAGTTCTTTTCTATTTATCTTAACAATGATTTTTATGAGCCACTTATATTACACCCATAAAACATTTTAAAGATATTAATATCATTTTTCGTGTTAGCATTCACATATTATTTTAGGAAAATGAGTCCATAGCACAAATTGATTATGACTGAAAGTTTTAATAATAACCATTAAAACTAAAAATCTGTATTCACAGAAATTCGTCATTCAAAAGCACTTAAATATATCAATCATCTATAGGAATGATACGTAGACCAGTGTCACGGTGTCTATTTCGTGACGTAGGAAATGTTTTCTCAAGATATTACAATCTTCTTCGGCATTTGTGTATGTGAAAAAAGGGAGTTTAAAATCCTGTTTAAACAGTGTCATGAAATAGTTATCACAACTTTCAAAAAGACTCCGCGTGAGTTACGTCATGGAGAACATATCAGAATATCAGGGCTTTAAATATTGTATCCAGACTGATGTACCGTTCAATGAAGGTTTGGACTTGTGTGAAAATGTCATTTCATAAGCTCAATTCTATTTTCCTGAATAAATGAACATTGACTCATAAGTGAAAAGAGTTTATTAAAATACGACTTTCTATTCAGGTCTATGTTTTATTTATCAAGTATGTAAAAATAATTGCAGAATGATATGTAAGGATTATTTCTACAAATATCATTCCTGTACAGATAATTAATTGATTCCAAACAAGTATTGCTGGAGTGGGAATATACTACGGAGGAATTTGACGCGCTTTGTTTGCTGTAGTGGTTTGTAGGGGGAGTGTGAAAACAAAGACGTTCTGTATAATATATATTGTACTTGTAAACGGTTTAACAATTTCAGGCAAACCCTTGAAGTTTACGGAGGCCTTTACCGCTATAGATGGTGCAGTTAAAATGTCAATGTTTGCATTAAAATCGATCATCAAAAAAAACTAACGCTTCTTTAATACAGTATGAATAACAAAGACCATTCATCATGTTAAAGAATGTATTTCGCTGCTGAATGTTTGCTGAAAGGCAGATAAACAAGGTAGACCCCAATATCTAATTGTATACCAAATATGCGATCACTATCAAAATCGAAATTAGTATATCGCTTATGCCATATTGTTGAAACACCCACCATCTTTTCTCACATTATTTTTAACACGTTCGATATAAAGTAAATAATCTGGAGAAACGAAACCCATAAAATGCTGTGTTCACATACGTATATTTGTTTCCTTTATCCATTTAAAAGTCAGCCTTGCAATTTATTAAATTATTGCATAACTATGTTGTATTTATTACTTTAATCACCATCACAGTTTCTATTGTCTAAAAGTAAATTTTTCGAAGAAACATTCTAATGAAATTTTGCCATGTAACGTCCCATGCAATTGTGAGGGTCCTGTTTTGTTTTAGCAGGTAAACGGTGTGAATTGCGAAGTGTCCTACGCCACTCCGTCTGTTTGTTATAATCCGATTGACGGAGCCCCTTATTGCCCTTGTCTTGTTTCAACAACACCAATGACCGCTCATGTCATGTCATCAGTGGCAACCACGCCTCCATCAACTTAAAATTGTCATTCACTAAGGACAAGCCTTGCTTTGTCGTTAGCCATGAAATCAGTTTCTGTAGAATCGTGTCACGGTCTTGACATAAATTGAAAGTCTGTATTCCTCTGACACGCGGCACCTTTCACCAATTTAAGAAGCTCGGAACGTGTATTGAGAAAAAATACAAATAAAATCGCTTTACTCGTCCGCTTTGTATAAGCCAGAAGTCCTACTTATTTTAAAGTCATACGTCTCATCATCCATACCCGATAGAAGGGGAAACAACAGTGGTAGTACCGGTATTGTTTACCCTATAACTGTAACATGAAAGGTCAATGAAGGAGACTGAAATCCGTTCCCGCTTGATTGTCTGACACTACACATTTTTTCGGAACATTGCTTGACAATTATCCAGTATCATCAGTTTTTCTTTGCGCATGCGTAATCCGGTGGACCAAATGAGCAGGCAACAACAGACGTTGCGCTTTACATATTTTTATCATTACATTTAAATGATTTTCAAGAAACAAACGATGTAACGGATATTGTTCGATTTACACTGCAATTGCATGAAAAAGATCTTCAAATTCAGCAATAAGTTCTGTCAAAGATTGAATTATATTTCCAGTCGCAGTCAATGTTTATAAGGACACTTTATTTGTAAGTTGTGTATTACCAAAGGTATATATACTTAAAACATGTGTCTTGTTAATGTATTTCACCTGCTCTTTGTTTGAAGCTTCTTGTTTTTATCATGTATATTTTTCGTCTCAGTATTCCAATATAGATATTTAATTATTACAGATACATTTTCATTTTTTCTTCGGCAAAGAGACTGACATGCTTGCTACACGCTGTATGCGACTTTTGCCGCCCTAATCCTGCTTTTCAAGGCAAATCCGTCACGCATATGTAAAATATCTTCATTATGAAAAATGTTTTTCTATTGCTCATTGTTAAGAAACAAATAATAACATTCAGGTAACAAATTAAACAAGCAAAATGATTGTTTGTAAACAAAAATTGTTTTCATATCTATAAAAATGTAACCCTACCCCAAAATTTGCCTAAATGTTCTTAAAAGTATATTGGTTGATCGTGCTAAATATAAAATACTTTTTACCGTGTAGTTTTTATTTTATAAAACTTTGAAAATATCTGGTATCATATTTGCTATTAAATTTGGCATTATTTAGCAAATAAGCCTATAATAATTATATAATTAAAATCAAACACTTTTTTTCTTCCATAAGTGATCTGACAGATACATAAATAATGTTATAAGGAAAAAAAAACAGAAAAAAGTTGCCCCTTCTGAGGTTTGAACCCACGCCCCTGAATTTCAGTTGCAGTTGAATTGCAGTTGACTCTTTAAAGTGGAGGTAATGCATTACCCATGGTCTACCTTAACGCCATGCACGTACATGTACATGTATTATGAAAAATTTAAAATACAGGTTGTTAAGCATTATCTATTTAGTCCATGGTTCGATAATCAAGAAGTTCGGAATGTCACAAATTTATTTGTCTCGTAATTTTAAATGTTTTAAGGATCGTGATATTCTATTACAATGTTATTGTAACAGCAAAAATGATCATGTGCTGTTTCTATTTTAAAAAAATCACCATGCAATAACGAAAGCGACAAATCGATTTCGAAACTTAATTATTCACTGAATAACCTTGTGATTCACATTAAAAGATTTAGTTTGTTTAACTTCCTGTTTGTATTTTTATCTAATGATAGGTGTTTACTGAAACACAGGCGACACATTCAGAAGTTTAGTCTTGATTTTTTATTCAATTGTCAAGATGGGGTCTTCAATCTCTCATGAAACCTATGAATCTATCAATGAGGATTTTTATGATGGAAAAAAGTATTATGCAAAATTTACGGAGGATTATTTTGCTGAGGGTGCCTGTCGTTATGCCTTCATGGGTACTTTGTATGGAAAAGGACCACGAAACAAGACCAAATGCGTTACAAAAGTGTTCAAGGATGAGGCAGCGAGTAAATTGAAGAACTGGGTACCGGAGATAGCTGCAAGTAAGCGAGCGTTCAGGTATGCGCAGCATTTTCAAGAGAATTACTTCCCGAGAATAAGCGGATCAGCTTCTGAAATTGAATTTCTGATACCACTTCTCGCACAAATGAAGAATATATCAGGCATAAATCTCCTCTGGTTTATAGAAGCATTTAAAGATGAACGATATGTTAAAAAACGAAGCATGGTCGCAATAGAACCGTTCATTGAGGGTTCTTATGAGAAGTTCAACTCCAATGGCGGATATGAGAAACAAGGTGGTCTTCATAGTATAGTAAATACGTTTAGTCATTGGACATGGCATGTTAGTGGACACAAATACATGGTCTGTGACCTGCAGGTAAGTTCATATTTGATTACAAAACAGAGGTCCGAATTGTTTAATAAGATTCACAATAAGGGAAAACAAGAAATATCTTTTCATCAAAGATAATCAGCATATATTCAGAATACATGTCTCAAATAGCCAATTATGAAATGAATAACTTTTTACTGTCCTAATTTTTAGATGTAATAAACTTTAAGGTTATATGAATATATAGTTTATATATTTTTATATATACAATGGTAACATGTATATTTATAAATACATATTTATATAACCATAAAGTTTATTTCATCTATGGTAATTAAAGCGATGATGTCACAATAAAGTTATATTCAAATTGAATATATATCAGGTCAATTTGCACGAAGAAAACGCAACGACTGCTGTGTTGTAGTGATGAGCATACTGGACGGGAATCAGAGGCCAGTTGTTCGAGTCCCGGCTTTTAGCGTTCATTTTCGAGTTTTTTTTTGTTTTTTTTTTGTTTTTTTGCAAAAATACTTTTATACGTTTGTGGTTGAGCATAATTTATGGTTTCTCAATGTAGGGTAAAAAATATAACGATTGTGAATTATCATTTTTTATAATCTTATAGCTTCCAACATTATTGAATTGTTTTTATTTAAACTAAATTGTATTCCTGAAACAGACCGGCCGTTATTTGATACATGTACCATTTATTGCAAGTTAATTCATATGTGAATAAAATGATAAAGTCTGTTTCAGCCAACATATAATATTTTTCGGAAGTTCAACGCGTAAAATACTTTTGTCTGTATGTATAAAATATTGAAAGTTATCCTTACATTTATCATCTTTTTGTAGGGCGTGAAATCGGGAAGAAAATACATTCTTACAGATCCAGCTATTCACTCAGCAGGCAGGGAGTTCGGAGCCACAGATCTTGGTGCTTTTGGGATGGAAAGAGTTCTTGGAAATCACACATGCAACAATTTTTGCGAGCAACTTGGTCTTGGAAACCCGTACACGGGGATACCTGTTGCATCAGGACCTAGGTCAACAACTTATAGTTTCCAAGTGACGGAAGAAGACATGATGAGAGCCGACCAAAGAAGGGCCTCTCTGTATCCATATTTACCAGCTATATTCGAATAAGGGATGCTTACAAACTTACGATACAAAAATATGAACTCAATAGAAAAAAACACTTCAAAGATATTGTAGTATATCATTATATAAATAATAATCTTATCGATTTTCAGTGCAAAACAAAGGTTGCTCTAACATGTATAAGTAGTTATTACGTGTACTATGTTTAAATTCTATGTAAGTGGTCTGCTGAGATTAGATGATATTATTAAACCGAAGTTTACTTTGAATATCAAAAAAGAAACCATATCTTTACAGATAACGAAAATTGTAATGAGAAAAATGCTTCTAAAATGTATGACAATTAATCGTAGGTTTCTACATGCATTTTACGCATTGTAAAATGTACTTGTATAAACTCTGCTGCACCAACTTATTTATTTTCTGCTTTAACTTTTGTAATAAAAATAAAATAAATACACCATAAATTACTTTCTAAAAAAAAAAAAAAACACGTAAAAATATCCATTTCTGTTATCTAAAATTTGAAATCTTTTCAAAAGAGAAAGTTTTTTGGGGGTCATTTTGTATCTTAATGAGTTAAAATTGGGATACGTTATAATCTGTGGTAGGCATGAAGAGGGTCTACAATAAGTTTCGAAGTCATTCCGTGTAACCTTAAGAAAATCACATTTGTTTTTGCCAGCTAGTTTTTCTTGAATATCTTATACTAGTATTTTGCATTACATTACAAACAGATAAACAAGATAATGTTGGTTTAATGCATGTTATTGTTATTTTTAAACCTTGACAAGGACTATGATATGTTTAAAGCGCAAGGCTATTATAATTTATCTATAAAAATGTAACCCTACCCCACCCACTTTTAACACTTATTTGATTATTTCCCTATATAAAAAGCCTTATACAAAATATCCCTAAAATTTAGCACAATAAGGGGCTGTTTTCAAAGTTTGCCTAAATGTTCTTAAAAGGATATTAGTTCATCGTGCTAAATATAAAATACTTTTACCGTGTAGTTTTTATTTTATAAAACTTTGAAAATATCTGGAATCATATTTGCTATTTAATTTGGCATTATTTAGCAAATAAACTTATGATAATTATATAATTAAAATCAAACACTTTTTTCTTCTTCCATAAATGATCTGACGGATACATAAATACATTTGTAATCTTATAAGGAAAAAAACAGAAAAAAATTGCCCCTTCTGAGGTTTGAACCCCCCCCCCCCCCTGAGTTTCGGTTGCAGTTGAATTGCAGTTGACTCTTCAAACTGGAGGTAATGCATTACCCATGGTCTACCTTAACGCCGTGCACGTACATGTATTATGAAAATTTAAATACAAGCTGATTGTTATGCATTATCTATTCAGTCCATGATTCGATAATCAAGAAGTTCGGAATGTCACAAATTTATTTGTCTCGTAATTTTAAAAGTTTTAAGGATCGTGATATTCTATTACAATGTTATTGTAACAGCAAAAATGATCATGTGCTGTTTCTATTTAAAAAAATCACCATGCAATAATGAAAGCGACAAATCGATTTCGAAACTTAATTATTCACGGAATTACCTTATGATTCACATTAAAAAATTTAGTTTGTTTAACTTCCTGTTTGTATTTTTATCTAATAATTGGTGTTTACTGAAATAGAGGCGACAAGATGTCAAGATGTCAATTGTCAAGATGGGATCTTCAATCTCTCATGAAACCTATGAATCTATCAAGATCAACAAAAGTATTATGCAAAATTTACAGAAAACTATTTTGCAGATGCTGCCTGTCGTTATGCCTTCATGGGTACTTTCTATGAAAATGGACCACGAAACAAGTCCAAATGCGTTACAAAAGTGTTCAAGGATGAGGCAGCGAGTAAATTGTAGAACTGGGTACCGGAGATAACTGCAAGTAAGCGAGCGTTCAAGTATGCGCAGCATTTTCAAGAGAAATACTTCCCGAGAATAAGCGGATCAGCTTCTGAAATTGAATTTCTCATACCACTTCTCGCACAAATGAAGAATATATCAGGCATAAATCTCCTCTGGTTTATAGAAGCATTTAAAGATGAACGATATGTTAAAAAACGAAGCATGGTCGCAATAGAACCTTTCATTGAGGGTTCTTATGAGAAGTTCAACTCCAATGGCGGATATGAGAAACAAGGTGGTCTTCATAGTATAGTAAATACGTTTAGTCATTGGACATGGCATGTTAGTGGACACAAATATATGGTCTGTGACCTGCAGGTAAGTTCATATTTGATTACAAAACAGAGGTCCGAATTGTTTAATAAGATTCACAATAAGGGAAAACAAAAAATATCTTTTCATTAAAGATAATCAGCATAAATTCAGAATACAATTGTCTCAAATAGCCAATTATGAAATGAATAATTTTTTACTGTCCTAATTTTTAGATGTAATAAACTTTGAGGTTATATGAATATATATTTCATATATTTTTATATATACATGCATATTTATAAATACATATTTATGCAACCATAAAGTTTATTTAATCTATGGTAATTAAAGCGATGATGTCACAATAAAGATAAATTCAAATTAAATATATGTTAGGTCAATTTGCAAGAAGAAAACGCAACGACTGCTGTGTTGTACTGATGACCATACTGGACGGGAACCAGAGGCCAGTTGTTCGAGTCCCGGCTTTTAGCGTTCTTTTTCGAGTTTTTTTTTTTTTTTGTTTTTTTTTTGTTTTTTTTTTGCAAAAATACTTATAGCTTCCAACATTATTGAATTGTTTTATATAAACTAAATTTTATTCCTGAAACAGACCGGCCGTTATTTTATACATGTACCATATATTACAAGTTAATTCATATATGAATAAAATGATAAAGTCAGCCTCACCTAACATATAATATTTTTCGGATGTTCAACTTGTAAAATACTTTTGTCGGTGTGTCATGAATATGTCTAGACTATTGAAAGATATCCTGACATTTATCATCTTTTTGTAGGGCTTGAAATCGGGAAGAAAATATATCCTTACAGATCCAGCTGTTCACTCAGCAGGCAGGGAGTTCGGAGCCACAGATCTTGGTGCTCTGGGGATGGAAAGGGTTCTTGGAAATCACACATGCAACAATTTTTGCGAGCAGCTGCGTCTTGGAAACCCGTACACGGGGATACCTGTTGCACCAGGACCTAGGCAAACAACTTATAGTTTCCAAGTGACGGAAGAACAATTGATGAGAGCAAACCAGACAAGGGCATCCCTGTATCCATATTTACCAGCTATATTCGAATAAAGGATGCTAACAAACTTACGATACAAAAAATATGAACTCAATAGAAAAAAACACTTCAAAGATATTGTCGTGTATCATTATATAAATAATAATCTTATCGATTGTCAGTGCAAAACAAAAGTTGCTCTAACATGTATAAGTAGTTATTACGTGTACTATGTTTAAATTCTATGTAAGTGGTCTGCTGAGATTAGATAATATTATTAAACCGAAGTTTACTTTGAATATCAAAATAGAAACCATATATTTACAGATAACAAAAATTGTAATGAAAAAATTCTTCTAAAAATTTATTTGAATGTATGGCAATTAATCGTAAGTTTCTACATGTACATGCATTTTACGCATTGTAAAATGTACTTATATTAACTCTGCTGTACTAACTGATTTGTTTTCTGCTTTAACTATTGTAATGAAAATAAAATAAATACACCATAAATAACTTTCTCAAAAAAAAAACAAAAAAAAACAACATCGATTTCTGTTATCTAAAACTTGAAATATTTTCCTAAGAGAATGTTTTTTTGGGGGTAATTTTGTATCTCAATGAGTTGAACTTGTGATACGTTATTAGCTGTGGTTGGGCATGAAGAGGGTATACAATAAGTTTTGCAGTCATTCCGTGTAACCTTAAGAAAATCACGTTGGTTTTTGCCAGCTAGTTTATGTTGAATATATTATACTAGTATTTTGTATCACATTACAAACAGATAAACAAGATAATATTGGTTCAATGCACGTTATTGTTAATTTTAAACCTTGACAAGGACTATGATATGTTTATAGCGCACGACTATTATAATTTATCCAAACCCAATGAACAGCATAATAATCCCTGCTTGAAATATAATAAGACACAGAAGAAAAAAAATACAAAAGATATGCATATATTTAGGATATAAATAATAGTGAAGAAGAGGAATTGTTTATTTCCAAATCCACACATGAACAACAACAGTCTGTTTAGGCTAAAAAGCCATTGGCATGATATGAAATGTAACTATATAACATCTAAGTACAGTACAGTACCAGTACAGTACTAGTACCAGTAACAGTACTAGTTCTTATACCAGTACCAGTACTTGTCCTTGTACCAGTACCAGGAACAGTACTAGTTCTTGTACCAGTACAAGTACAGTACCAGTACAGTAAAGGAATGTACCAGTACAGTACTTGTACAGTACAGTACAAGTAAATACAATACCAATACAGAAAAGTTCAGTACCAGCACCAGTACAGCACCGGTACAGTGCCAGTGCAGTACAGTACAGTATAATATAATACAGTACAATACCAATATAATACCAATACAATACAATGACGAACATTGATGAAATAAAATGGTCCACTATCAATATATTGTAACATACATACATGTATATTATCAGAAGTATTTCTTTAATTATTTTGGGTCATGGCTTCGTTATGTGTTATCGTTAATACAAATCAATTTTAGTAATTGTCTACTTATGTTATTACAATATGCTTATGTATAGATATTAATTTTATAATGATTAGTTATGCTAACCTTATACATGTGAACATTTGTAATATAATGAAGAAAAATACCTTGTATCGACAGCGAAATTACAAAACCATAATTGCTACTACCATAAGAGTTCGTTATATCAGATATAGGTATCATGTCAGATATAGTTATGTCAGATATAGTTATGCCAGATATAGTTATGCCAGATATAGTTATGTTAGATATAGTTATGTCAGATGTCGTTATGTCCGATATAGTTATGTCAGATAAAGTTATGCCATATATAGTTATGTCAGATATAGTTATGTCAGATATAGTGATGTCCGATATAGTTATGTCAGATATAGTTATGTCAGATATAGTGATGTCCGATATAGTGATGTCCGATATAGTTATGTCAGATATAGTGATGTCAGATATAGTGATGTCCGATATAGTTATGTCAGATATAGTGATGTCCGATATAGTGATGTCCGATATAGTTATGTCAAATATAGTGATGTCCGATATAGTGATGTCCGATATAGTTATGTCAGATATAGTGATGTCACATATAGTGATGTCACATATAGTTATGTCAGATATAGTTATGCCAGATATAGTTATGTCAGATATAGTTATGTCACATATAGTCATGTCACATATAATCATGTCACATATAGTCATGTCAGATAGAATTATGTCAGACATGAACACACATACAAACATGACAGATTACCTTGTATCCAAGACGATTGAGTTAACATTACATGCTTCTATAATATAACACAATAAGAGAAATAACCAAGAGAATTAATGTGTAAACATTAATCAAGAGTTGTTTACCTTTAGTTTTTGATAAATACGTGACATCAGGCGTATTGGAAAAATACACTTACGTAAAACCACAATAAGTACATGTTATTGAAATTGATTTTGATTTAAGCTGTTTCTACTTAACATTTGATTATTATGTCCTTTTCAGTTTAGTTATTTAACTTCTATGGTTTTCCGTTTAATTTGTTGGTTTAATGTTTATTTTCTATGTTCTGTGTCTATTCTGCTCTGAAATATTTGCTGTTTTCTTTTTCGTTTTTGTCCTGATATGTTGTGGTATTCCTTTAGTTCTCCTGTTATTAGTTGTTCTATCTTGTTGTATCGATGATGTCCTTGAATCTTGTTACATTCTGTATGTACTGGTACGTTTTTGTATGCCTTTTGCTGTCTGTTCCGTTACGTCTTTTTCCTCTTTTTCCTTTAGGTTTTTTGTATTGAATTCTGACCCGTTTCTGTATCTTTTTTTTTTAACCAATTAGTATCTGTATATGTTTAGTCTCAAGAGTTCTATATTCTGGTTTTGTCAGTCTCAGAGTCATTTCATTCTTTTAGTGGAGTAGCGGGGGATCGAACTCACGACCCCTTGAGTGGTAGGTAGACAGTGTTACCACTGCACCATAGCGCCGCTCTGAATTATATCTTGTTTTAGAAAGTCCTATATATTTTATTATATATTATTACTTCAATGGCTAACAAAAAGGTATTGCAATTATATGTTAACACCTTTACTTAGGTAGCCAACCCATGTGACTTTTTATATATTGTCAAAGAGAATATAACTCGATTTAAGTAATATTTCATAGAAAAACTTTGCTATTACTTTAGGGGCGTCCGTGGCCGAGTGGTTAAGGTCGTTGAATTCAAAACACTTGGCCCTCACCGCTGTGGATTCGAATCCCGGCAGGGACTTCGGATTCTTTCATGAGGAAGCTATCCAGCTAGCTTACGGAACGTCGGTGATTCTACTCAGGTGCCCGTTCGTGCCTGAAATAATGCATGGAAGGGCACCGGAGGTCTTCATCCACCAGTAAAGCTGGAGCGTCGCCAAATGACCTATACTGTGTCGGTGTGACGTAAAACCCAATCAAACAAACAAAACAGCTGTTACTTTAAGTATAACCTGGAAAAATTAGTGGATGGTATCCGGAATTCTTAGATATATCAGATGGTGTGATAATCTTTAAGTTGTTGGTTTGAAACATCAATAATCTTTCCATCGATATAATATACATATACTTCATGGTTAAATTGAGTTGTTGCCACTTATAAAAAATATGCCCCTCGTATTACGACGTGATGTTATTTGCGTTATAAAAACAACTGACCGAACAAATAACAAATACAAGTTCTATCTTCCATTGCATAAAATGCATGAGCAAGTTTGCACACTTATAGAGACCTGTACCTTAGACAAAACAAAAGTATGTATAACTGAATTCAAAGCTCATTGTTAGGTCAGTTCCATGTAAGGTCAGTTATTAAGAGCTTTATGAATGAACTTGTTAATTAAAAGCGGGAGCCTTCAATTAAAAATTTGGATTAAGAGGCATATTTTTTTCTGTGCACGGATACAGTCAAAATTGCTAGATATACACGTTCGCATTTTCAAATGTAGTTTTCAAAAGGAACACTTTACATGTCTGGAATTTTTGCAACGAATGTCCTTCATATTGGCAAAATGTTTTTCTCCCTTCAAAACTATAATTTCAAAGAGTAACCTTCAAACTGGAACTATGTGCTTAAAGTGACATTATGTCCATCCAAGGGTATATAGTGAGTGCACGGGTGGAGATCAAAATAAGTTTTTATTTTGTCATAATTCCTTTTAATGTAATAATTAAGTTTGCATTAACAATAAATAACGCACAGATCCAAACCAAATTCTAATATCCATTACAATTTTTACCTATATAACTCTTAGTTTAAAAAAAAAGAGTGGGGCAGTCATTTTAAATCAAGTCAATCTTTTGAATTCAGCTTAACTTTACTATGAAAATATGAGCATAATGTCACTTTAAACTTCGGAAATATTGTAAAGGAAGATATACAATCAGCGTACAATTACATAATGTCAATATTTATTTAAAAAACACTTAACATCCATATAAATAATATTATATAATGATCCCACTTTTATCATATACTCATATAAATACACAATGCATACATTTAATTCACTTACTCTATAAATACAAATTGAAGTCACGTAATCACAAAACACGTAGTAAATATCAGTTTCATTCATTTAAATTATATATTTAAAGGAACCTTACTGAGGTTTAAAAGTCTATTAACATAAAATTGTAATTTCTTACATAGATCGACTCGGGCACTTTAAACTGAAAGACATGCAAAAACATACTCGGTAACTGAGCGAAAATTGTTTAAAATGTTATAGGAGCTAATGCCACCTTGTCTTGGTTTCCTGTCCCATTAAGATCACGTGGTTTTTCATACGTTTTAATATTCAAAGAAAAAGAAACACATAACATTGGGTACACAACATATTGCCTAGAAGACATCACATACAAATGAACAAATAAGAAATAATAAACAAAAAACAGCATAATTTCTGACTTAAACAGCTAAATTACTGTTTTGTGGAAAATTACTGTTTTGTGGTAAGTCACTGTTTTGTTGTAAGTTACTGTTCTGTGGTAAGTTACTGTTCTGTGGTAAGTTACTGTTCTGTGGTAAGTAACTGTTTTGTGGTAAGTTACTGTTCTGTGGTAAGTTACTGTTCTGTGGTAAGTTACTGTTCTGTGGTAAGTCATTGTTCTGTGGTAAGTTACTGTTTTGTGGTAAGTTACTGTTCTGTGGTAAGTTACTGTTCTGTGGTAAGTCATTGTTCTGTGGTAAGTTACTGTTTTGTGGTAAGTAACTGTTCTGTGGTAAGTTACTGTTCTGTGGTAAGTCATTGTTCTGTGGTAAGTTACTGTTTTGTGGTAAGTTACTGTTCTGTGGTAAGTTACTGTTCTGTGGTAAGTTACTGTTCTGTGGTAAGTCATTGTTCTGTGGTAAGTTACTGTTTTGTGGTAAGTTACTGTTCTGTGGTAAGTTACTGTTCTGTGGTAAGTTACTGTTCTGTGGTAAGTCACTGTTCTGTGGTAAGTTACTGTTCTGTGGTATGTTAATGTTATTTACTTGTTTTTCTGCAGCTTTTACAGTTGTGTTTGAAAGCAAGCTTGACGCAAATTTTCTTAGTTTCTGTGCATGAAATGCATACTTGTCTAACAATTTCGCCTTTGTTTCGTCTTTGATTTCTAAACCTGTTTTATCCGCTTTCAAAAACAGGTCACTTGCAATTTTTACGAGATCTTGAGATTCTATGGTAAACAATTGTTCTAGTTTTGTATTATTTAGCACTGTTTTCTCTTGATTTGCTATACTAGCGTTCCTGTCTCTTAATAAATCCTTAGCAAGGTTTAAAACATTCTGCGTTTTTGCCGAAAAAGATTCGACAAATTTTGTCATGTTTCCACCCAGACTTGCGTCATTTTGTTGACTGGTATCTAAGAACTTTGTTCCGGCTTTAGCTAGAGTATCTTTCATCAATTCTTCAAGTTGTTTAGTTTGTGTGGCGAAGTCTTCCGTAAGTTTAATCTTATATTCTTCAACATTACTACTTACCAAGCCATTAGATACATCACCACCGATCTTTGATGTGTTTGGATAAGTTGTATTTGAAGACATACTTCCTACATTATGGGGTATAAATGGGTTCATACGCTGTGAAGATTTGAAAGTTAACGTTGTATTCGACTCAGTCGAGTTGGCAGTAATGTTTTCTTTATTTTTGGATAGAAACGGGTCCATACGCTGCATAGATTCTGTCGTAAGTGACTTGTTGGACTTCAAGTTTATTGTATTATCTTGTGTCATGTTTTGATCTATTTCGTTCAGAGAACTTTTTGCAAGATGATATCTGTCTAATAAGGGATTGGTTATGTCCCCTTCACCAGATTTTCCTCCATTGTTATCACTTATCTTACCATTTGTTTCAGTGTCCTCGTCGTCAATAATTATCCCCTTTTCTTCTTCATTGCGGTAAATGTCAGGACGAAGGTTAAACGGTCTTTCAAGTTTTGATGTTTGCTGCCTTATTTCACCCTGAACAAGCATTTTCTGTGATAACCTGTTACTATTAAAAGATTCGAACTTCGTATTGTCGCTCTCTGGCTTGAAGGACCTGTACACGATGTAGATTACCAGCACAGCAGCTAGAACGCCTATAAATTGCTTCCGGCGAGCCATTCCTCGACGACGAGGTCGGTTGTTGTCCCCACGTCCATTCTTGTACATGTTTAAAGTCCTAAAATAAAAAAAAATGCAAACATTATCAAATGCGTATTAACGAAATTAAAGGGACATTATGCTCATTATTGTATTGTCATGTTGAGCTGAATTGACTTCATATTTCAAAAGATTGACTGTTACTGGAATATGTTGACGATAAAATATAAATTTGCCTAATATGTAAAAAGCCTTTCCCAACCGTTTTATAAATTGAATGTTACATGTAAAATTCCGAAGGATATTTACAGGAATTTCATTGGACCCCGTAGGTATTTTGTCGTTCGTGCGAAGTAAATGATAAAAAATAAGGGGAATAATGACAAAACATAATACTTATTTAGACTTTCACCTGTCTATTCGCTATATACCCTTGGACTGGCACAATGTCACTTTAAAGCTGCATGCCTCCAGATGAGTCAAAATATTTCAAGAAATCAAACTTGAGAAAAATGTATTGAGAATTTATGAAAAGTAAAAAAAAATTGAATACATAAGTAATAATTTCCATGTTTTTTGTGATAAATGGCCGATTTTTTACCATATTTTTACTGCGTTAGTAACGCAGTAAGGGCATTTTTTTGCATATGTTGATCTCTTTTTAGCAATTTACGTGGATTTTTGTAAGTGCCGTTTGCAATGTGTATACTATTTGCTTTGTTTACTTCACAATATTTTACTTTTTAATACGTTTTCAAAAAATTAATGAACATTAGCTGGAATCTGGAGGCGTGCTGCTTTAATGAAACAGGCTTGCAGATTTCCGCAACCCTTTAAATATCTTGTATCTAAATGTGTCTAATGTCACTGTGTTAATTCCCGTGTATGTAAGAAAGGAAAGGTTCGACTAGTCAGTGGGCCACTCATACTTCAATATCGCGTTTCTTTATTATTAGATTTATATGTGAAGGTGAGCAGATAATTATAAACCATATCGTATACAGGTAAAACATTCAACTCATTTTTATGTAAATCTGCCAACGTTAAAACACCTTGTGGTAAGGGAAAGTATAAACTTATGAAAATGTTATTTGAACACTGTTCAAAATTGTTGACAACCTATAAGTTTATAACTGTGATATCATTTAAAATTTGGCTTTTTCAGAGTCACTGAAAATTAACCCTTACCACTTTAAATATCATAAATGGACTTGTCAATCTTTAAACATGGAATAAACAATTCGATCATCATTTAACAGTGCAGACCATGATCAAATCTCAGAAGGAACAGATTTCCCGGCTGATCTTGGTCTGCACTGGTCTGTTGCCGCCATTATAACACAACGCATTTATAAGCGTAAAAGGAAAAAAAACGTTTATGACACAAATAAAGCATGGCTTATTATTACATGTGTACTTCGCACATATGACTTTACAAGCAAAATAACATAAAAAGTAAAAATGGGGGCAAAACTCTACAAACAACTTAAACTATACAAATGAGCTTGAAATATGTGGTGATATAAACGAAACGATGTGACACGTAGGTCGCGGTGGGACTTTAATCTATCCATCTATGAATAATTTAATGTGAATTTTTAATATCCATAAAACCCGCATATCGATTCATGTGTAAACTAATGAAAATTTCTATTGATGTTTTACCCCACATATTATATAAAGTCAACATATCTGGTGTATTGCTCTGTACTTCAAGCTATATGTAGTATTATACATGAGCCGCGTCACGACATAACCAACGTAATGCGTTTGCGACCAGCATGGATCCAGACCAGCCTGCACATCTGCGCAGTCCGATCAGGATCCATGCTGTTCGCTTACAAACCCTATTACAAGTAGAGATACTGATAGCGAACAGCATGGATCCTTATCAGACTGCGCGGAGGCACAGGCTGGTCTGGATCCATGCTGGTCGCAAACCCACTATGTTGGTTTTGTCATGATGCGGCACATATGGCGTATGAACATCGACAGTACATCGGCACTGACCAGAGGGTATAGTTACTCGTTACTGCTAAACAATAGGTCAGTGTTCTTACTACTGTAGAATAAAAATAAGATAGCCTCCTGAAAATTTTGAAAAAGCATTAAATTTGAAAAGTACAAATCATGCTTTTTTGTATAATTTATAATATTTGACATGCTCCCTTTAAAAAATATCATGTTAAATATGCTGACAGTAAAACATGTAATATTCATTATGCTCTCAGTAAATAATGTAATATTCAGTATGGTCCCTGTAGAATATATGATATTCAACATGCTCCAAGTAGAATATTCCCAGTAGAATATATATAATATCCAATATATCTAGTATATAATATATTATACGCAATATGATCTCACTAGAATATATCATTCTCTGTAATTATGCTTACAGTAGAACAAATTATATTCAATATATCCCTTTAAGTATTTATCATAATTGACATGCTCTACCGGTATATTCAATATGCCCCTGTTAGTAATTATTATCTTTGACATATTCAATATCATTCGCAGTCCCCACCCACCTCCAATGTATTAATATTAATGTAAATTGACTGAAGATCAAATTTTTTTACCAGGTGTATATCATTACATATCACCTGCATCATTACAGGGTATGTACTCCGTGTGTACCTCTCTGATTTAACATGTCATAAAACTAAAAATTTAGCATTATATCAGAGATAGTTGCAATCAGATTGACTTGTACAGGAAAGTAAATCTTTTGTTTTGGTATCACGGATAAACAAACATATACATGTATACATGTGACTCATTATGATTTTACAAATTCAGACAACAGTATCCAATAGTTTCCGTATAGTTCATAGTTTAACAAAAATATCGACCATGTATCGATGTAGTATGTAACAAAATAAAGCAATATTTGACTTACTGTGGATGAATAAATCACCAAATCCTTCCTGTATATATAATATACGTAGTTATAGACAAAATACATAAACACGTGTCGGGTAGACTTAATACCTGTCAAATCACGTCTTTGGATATTGGATTATCGCGTATTGTAAATACACACATTTAAAATGCATGGTTGAATATTTCATGGACTGCTGATCACGGCAATTTGTATGTCAAACAATACCGCGACATAAAAGCTTTAATGATATTCGTACGACCTCTGGTGTAATGGTAATATAAACGATACGATTTAATTAGTATAAAGTACAGAACCATGAATAAGGACCAAAACATGACTGTGCTGGTGACTTTTAATTGATATCGTGCGCACGAGATACTATATATCATCGCCACGAATTACTAAGTTTACGGAGAGTTTCTAAAAAAGCTTTTCAAGTTTCCTTCTCAATCCCTACAATTTAATATTTGTCAATTATCATGTAAATGAAATGTTTAAAAATAAAATATTGTTTAAACTAAGTCGTGGGAACGAGATAATTATGTGGTGCGCACGAGATACTATGTCGTGGCCACGAGTTACTAAGTCGTGCGTCCGAGATAAATTAAGGAATGTTAATGTGTCAAAAAGGCCAGCTGAAGGTGTCAGTTCTTATGCTGAATGAGGAGCAAAATGATAAATGCATCCAACCATCACAGTCATTTTACCTTCGCTTCTTTAAAATATTACCAAGTATGGAAACTTTTCTTGATCTGCCAGCTGATATCACTTACAAAAGATCTATACTGCAGTCATCACTTGAAAAATCTTGGTAAAAATTAAGATTTTATTAATAAGGACCTCTATGTAAAATCTAATGAATATTTAGTAGTACACCATATAAATATTTATTTTTAAAACACCTAGCTAAGACTTGAGGTAAAACATATTTTAATGGTAAAACTCTGAAACTTTATAAATAATCTAACTTGGTTGGAACATTTTTTATCAGTGTGTTTGGACTATTTACGTTGTTACATTTCAAAACAAACAGGTTATTATTGGCGTTTTTTTTCTGAAAATATCAGACAATTAATCAAGGCAGGCATTTCTGCAGAACAATATGTGACATTATGCAATTTACTCTGACATCACATCAGAGCCGCAGAATTTAGATTCTTGCATAGCAGACTGGCGTTTCCGTGTGTTTTACCCATGCGGGAAATTTCATCTGGCATGGGGGTTCCAGATGAGTTGGAATGGGGAAAAAATGCGTTGGCCACTCGATTCAGATTTTCAAACCGTCAAATCTGCACATTTATGAGACAATATAGAGATAAATCTGCAGTGCAGGCTCTGAAGAAATATATGACTAGATACCGGATCCTGTTCCTTACAAGCAAAGCACAAAAACACCTTTTAGAAACTAAACTATTTGTAGTATTGACCTGAATTAAAATCACCTACCTCTCTTCCCATAAGTTATCCTCCATCTTGAAAATTCTATACTGCAACCGGAAAACGCGATACTTTAACACGTTCCCTACGGTGAGGTAGAGATATGCTAAACAAAACCTTTTCTAGTAATCAAAAAAAAAAAAACAACAAAAAAAAAACAACTGTTAAGGCCATTGTAAGGTAGCCTTATGAGAAATATTGATTATTAGTGCTTTGAGTTAATGTCCCCAGATCTGTGATCTCTCCCAGATCTAAACAAACACAGGGCAAGTGCCCTGCCCTTACAAAACTGGCTAAATTATAATATAAATTTTACAACACACATACAAAAATAAAGTTGAATTATTGATTACTCATATGTCATTAGTGCCTAATTCTGATTGCAATCATTGTCTGTTCAATGTTAGTTATTACTCCAGGTTTCCAAACAAGATGATTACCTTTGATTATGTACACTTCTTCCAGCTATAAAAGCCGTTCCGCCCCTGTGATTGACCATGTATTCTGCTAAAAGAACATTCTCCCCTCCTTTATCCGATCTCAACCTCTCAGGCAGTCCATACTGCTGAGTTGCCTCTATGAAGGCACTTAGAACACTCTCTGCACTGTGGTTAGTGTTCACCTTTAAGAAAACTGGCAGTCGAGAATAGTCAATACCTGTCAATTCCCCCATGAACAACAAATCTCCATCTACAAAAGACATTGCCAAAGAAGTATATATAAAGCAAGGCCTCTATGTTTTAACTTGAACTGGTTTTTTCCATTTTCCACTAAAGCATAAAGCCTAATTTTGTAAAGGTACATCATTCCAAAAACATTGAAAGAGCAAAGAAGAAATTTATTGCAATCGCTTGATTTTTACGTCCAAAACAGACATGCTGAAAATTATACCTGGTTAATTCATGATTTCAGTCAATGTGCCACAATGCTAAGTGAGCACGCACATTATAAGCTCTGCGTTGTATTCTGCAGGCAGACAAAAACATCCTCCTAAAGAGAACTCCCTGGGGATCACAGAATTTCAGTGCATCTCTCACTCGTCTTTCCTGCACACGATAACCTATCCATAAATATAACAGGTTTTAAAAGTCATAAACAATTTGATGCAGATTGTCAATTTAAGGTCATAAGTAATGGCTCCAATATGCATTGAAATTTACGCAAGTATATATGTTATAGTCTGGACAGGGATAAGTATGTATTTTCGATCCGTGGTGTGGATTTAAAGATTTTTTCCCCAAAATGTTGCCAATTATATCAAATCCAAAGCACAATCAATTTACAGATATACTAGTACAAATTTCTCAAATGTCTTGCAAAAAAGGGTCAGCAACAGTATAAGGAGAACAGGATTGGCATATGGAACTTAAACTGACACCATGAACAGGCTAGCAAATTAAAGATAAACTGACATAAAAAGAAAGGGAGACTAAATTAAATTTTAAATGCTTGAATCATGAAGTTACATTGTGTAAAAAATGTTTGTCAGCTAAAATCTAGTAAATGTAGACTTGTCACATAAGCTGTTACTAGTTTCTCGCATATACTATACAAATTATTTGCCAAAAGTTAGCAAGGAACAAGCTCTGAAGAAGTCCTGTGAATATTTTTTTTGATCAGTATAAGAGTTGTTTTCTCCCTAAGAATATACACTGTAAAGTGTATTCAGCATGAAGTTAAGGCATACTTTAAAGGTAATTGTCAGCAGATTGTGACAAAAAAGAAATATGTTGAAAAGCTATATTTTTATTTGTTTAGATGCAGATAACTGTTGCATCAGTGCATAAGTTTCCATCAATTTATCTTCAATGTTAAAAGTTCGTCCATTTTCTATACTGTGTATGGCATGACAGAGTTTCACTCTCAACATGTTTTTCATTTCCACCATTTCATGTGTCATTTTATGAAAGTGGCAACAAATAGCGTTCACTATCAAAATATCCAAAGAAAATGGCGTTTTGTTAAAAAGCGGACATAACTTTTCAAAACCATTCTGTAAATTAAGTAAAGCTAGCATTTAACAATTTTTGTTAGTTTATCGATAATGAAAAATCAGGTAAGCTTTGGCGTATTTGCGCGTTACATATGGAATTTCATTTCACTTTTTAAATAATATGGTAGATTGTCGATGTGATAAGCAAAGGCATTCATCAAAATTAGCAAAGTAGGTTAACAATGTAAGATTTGATTAATATTCATTGAATAATATGAAATTTAACTTTAAACTTTTGTGTAAGTATTCACACAATGTGAAAATAACTTTCATTATATTGCATTACCTTTTGCATTTTGGGGATTAACGCTTCACAGTTGCAATTTTATGAACTGGCATGAATCAATTTAGCATTAACGATTTGAATTTTGGGGATTAACGCTTCACAGTTGCAATTTTATGAACTGGCATGAATCAATTTCGCATTAACGATTTGCATTTTGGGGATTAACGCTTTACAGTTGCAATTTCATGAACTGGCATGAATCAATTTAGCATTAACGACTTGGCATATTCCAACTCGACACATCGTGGTTTTCAGCTTTGTGAGTTGGTATATATGATATTAATTAATAATAACAGATTATCAAACACGCTATTTTGATTTTTGACCCAAATACCGCTCCATATTAAAATATTGACACAGTGCTCAACGGTCGCGAGTTTGATACACTGATATGATACTCAAACTAAAGTTACTTACAAGTCATTTTAGTGTATTACAATTCTATGTACAGTAAAACTTCAGTTTCTATTCTTTCTTTCTTTTCCTTCTTACTTTCTTTCATTCTTTCTTTTCTTTTCTTTCTTTCTTTCCTTGGATATATTTCTTCTTTTGTTATTATACATCTTCATAGATCTACTAGTATTAAATATAGTTGAAAATAAGTGCTAAAATGATGCTGAGTAATGACATATCATGTATAATTGCAATTTATATAAAATTGTCGATTATCAACTACGTAACTTTCACGAATTATTTATTTACATCAATTTTCTATGATTTTTACATTTGTGAACGACGTATTTCTATAATTGTTATTTTCATGAACAACGTATTTCTGAGTGTTATTTTCACGAACAACGAACATGTATTTCTTTGATTGTTATTTTCACGAACATAGTTTATTAACAACGAGTTTCTTTTTTTGTTATAACAAAAAAAGAAACTCGTTGTTAATAAACTAACAACAATTTGATGTGAATGCTTACGAGTATTTTTTAACTAGAAAGGTTGTAATTTTTACGAAGATGATCTATAATTAACAATCATATTCAACCATAATTATAACTCGAGCATATATTGGTATTTATTTGTACATAATCATTTTGTAGAGATAACATTAGGATAAGCGAAAACCCTGACAGGAAAGTGGCAATCGATGAATTTCCAAGCGAAAGTTATTTGCATGTTGAAAATGTATTTGGCACAGATACCTATGTTCGCTTAACACGCCAGTATGAATATGTTTTCACCTCCATTATTGAAGGTTTTGATGGATTTCAAACCATAGAGGTAAGTATTTTATTTCCTTAAAAATATAATTATATCCCCGCAAAACGAAGTTGTAAGGGGGTATACTGGGATCACCTTGTCCGTCCGGCCGTCACCCCATCCGGCCGTCCGTCGGTTTTTCCTTGTCCGCCCAATAACTTAAGATTCCTTTGATCCACAGTCTCAACATTTGGTATTTAGGTTGGTCATGATAAGTAGATGATCCATATTGATTTTGAGGTTACA